CAGTGTTTGTTTTTCAAAAAAAATTCAAATTTGATGGAGAAAATGCAATTTTAAATACCAACACGCCTATTCCGCTAGTAATTTTGTAACTTGGTTTTCTCCACTTTGGAAGCAGCTAGAACAAAAAGTTTTTCACTGTTAAATAGGGCATTGTTTACACTATATATACCGCTATTCAAAACAGAAAATTTCGTACCTACGATTTTTTCAGAAAATGCCGCCTAAATGCCCACTGTGCTCTATTCACTTAGCTTGTCAAAAGTGGAAAAAAAAGATGTAAGTGGTAGTCAAAAATGAGAAGTATGGAGATTTTAGTGATTTTACCGTAACTACATGACTTTACAATAGTTTTCCATGGAGGTTTTAGCACATATTCAATATTTATGAACTGTGATCAAGTCAAAAATTGCATCTAGCCAACGTCGTTTTGTCAAGATTGGCAAAACAAAAAAACTTTTCTCTAAATCCTGTGGGGGACTCTAGGCACCAAATATCTCATGATGGAATTTTGAAAAGCTAAATGGTATAATATCTGACATCACTCTGATTTGTTTTACATCAAAAGAACTGGAATTCCATGGGGAACGGAAACCATGCTTACCCGTTCACGTTCTTTACGCGTCTTTTTATACTACCTATACGTTCAGGCATTGTAATTCAAGTAAAAAGATTTAACGCTAATTTGTCTGATTTTGTTTCAGAGAGGCTATCTTCCGGTATATATATAACTATATCCGTTCCATATTCCGGTCAAGCATGGCAACAAGACATACTTAAAACAACAATCAGGACTAAAACAATCTTGTCTCACCATCTGTTCTTTCCGTTCCACTAATAAAAGGCTATCATACGAGCCTTGTTGTATGGCTGCTATTGTCATCATCATTATTTTGTATGAAAATTAAATTAATGATTAAAACCTTTATTTTTTATATCAAAAGAAAAAATATGTACAGTTCTGAGCATTATTAACTTCATATTCAACACTTGTCTAACCATAAGTATTCGTGATGTTTAAAAAATACAAAAACAAATGAAATATTGATAAAAATTTGATCATATTGCAAAATGAGACAGAGAATCTTGTTTGCACCGGACTTTAAGAATACTGCACGCAAAATTGACAAATTAAAATTTCGAATCATTTTTCGATTTATTCAAAAATGAAACTCAAATAAACGTATCTTTAGGTTTAGCTACTGATTTAAACTGTTTTATCGTTGTACTTAAATGTGGGTAAGGTTTAATTAAATCACTGTTCGGTGCTGATGTTGTTGGATTAATATGAACACATAATGTTTTATTGGATAACTGTCTATATGGTGATGATGATGATTGAAAATGTACTTGTTTAGGTGAATTATTTACGGATGATGTTAATGAGTGTACCATTGTTGTTGGTGATATTCGTTCACGCTGTGATAATAATGAAGTATTTAGAAAATTAGAGTTTGGTGATATATTCTGTTGATGATTAAATGTACGATAACTATTATTATTAGCAAATGTTGAAGTATCTAGTGTTTTACAATCTTTATATAACCAATCGGGATAAAGAATTTTTTCTATAGACCATTCATTTGCATCATTCATTCTACCAGATCCTTCGGTCCATTCTTCAACATCTAAATAGAAAAGATTGTTTAGACTATTCTTTTATTTTTATTTTCAAATTAAAAATTCTCACCTTCAATATCTTGATGTGTGCTACTGTTACTATAATAATCACTTGTTTGTGGTGGTTTTGTAGTTGACGATAATTGTTGAATGTAACAATTATCAGCTCGATGAACACCTAGAATTCAATGAAGAATTTATAGTAATTTCACAATAACTGTCTCATGATGTTAATCTGACATGGCTAAGCGACAATATTGAAAATTTATAACGTTTTTTATTTTTATATTTTTTTACTATGAATCAAATTTTGTAGTCTGATCATTAGATTCGTGTATAATGAGAAGTACTCTAATTGAAGTACTATGTATCTCATAGAAAATAATTTTATGTCATTTTTGTATCTTAAAACTCTATTTCACCTGGTGAATAGTTTGACATTTGCATTCATTACGAAATATGATTGTTTGAACAAAATTAACAATACTCTATATCTGTATATGCAGCAACAAGAAAAATGCTCATTTTAATTTGATATCCACAAACGTTTGGTTTGTTCGTAAGATAATAAAACCGTAAATCTAACACACATACATCAATTGTTGAAATAATTATTTTACAATATACTGAAATTTAATCTGTATGTACCTCTGACATAACAACTTCTATAGTTGAAGTCTACGATTTTTTATGTATGTTTAAATAAAATCCTTCGATGTTTCAGGGTTAAATCAGGTACAGTAAAGAATCTAATCATTTTAAATAATTATGATATCAAATTATTTTTGCTTTTCGTATATCGATAAACACATCCCTTATAATCACTTTTACTAAGATGGTCACATAGACATCTTGAAAGATATTTTTGTCGTATTAAGTCTCATTTTGACAAACTTTTTTTAAAAGAATAGAAGTAGGCCACACTGAAAAATATAGTTATTATCTTGAGTTTTAATGGATTTCTTAAGATTCAGTGGTCAAAACGTGATCTAACGGGTACTTCATAATGAATGAGCCTTTCAGTATTTTGACCATAAACTTTTTTTTTATTAAAAAATGGTCAATTTGTATTTTTAGAAAGATATTCCATTTAATTTTCTATAAAAAATGTGTTCACTGTTTTATTCCAGAACAGAAAAGTGAAAGACTACATGAAAAATACTGAGAAACCTCGAAACCGCCAACTTTCCAAGTGTCACGCGAAAATGTTGATTTCTGAAAAAATGACTAAAAGCAAAGGATTCGCTTGTAACCAGTTGTACTTTAGAAAAATTCTAGTTATAGTTAGAAGATAGTGTTTTTTTCAAGGGCTATAAAATGATGAGCTAAATATTTTCTTGTCTCAAAAGACAAAAGAGTAAACCCGAAAGATCTGTATTCGTGTTTAGAAAGTTGATGGTTTCGAGGTTTCTCAGTATTTTCATGTAGTCCCTCCCTTTTCTATTCTGGAATAAAACAGTCAATCCAGTTTTTGCAGAGAACTAAATAAAGCTTCTTTTTAAAAGAACTAATTGGCTTTTGGAGACTTAACAAAAACAAGCCATGGTTAAAATACTGAGAGGCTCATTTATTATGATGCACCCGTTATTTTTAGTAAAGAATGTCGAGCTTCATTTTATTCATGCAAATATCCAAAAACTATTTTAAAAATTAGTAACTCTCCTCCACCGATACCTAGTTTGATTGCTGAGCTGTCTATTTAAACTTTTTTATTGTTAAATTGAAAAAACTTTTGAAATAAAAATCCGGTTTGAGATTCTCAGATATCCAGCTGTCTGTACTGAAGAGAAATGTATGTCAGATATGGGACTCTAAAACGGTTCAGATAATCGATCTATCCATCACACAAAAAGAATTAATGTCCAACAATAATGTGTAACTTCAGATACGTTTTCAACTTAAAAAAGGCAGACATTCCTGCGTTTAAGAGGCTCAAATGTATATGTACACATGTTGATAAGGTGCGTCGTGATAAAAAGCCTATGTAAACTTGTAGCAAAGATACAGCATCAATAACTAAATGACTGATTATTAGCAGAGAGAGTGGACAATCTTAGCAAGATAGTATAGAGACCTTGAACAAACTTCCCATGTCCAAAATGTATGGAGAAAGTGTGTGTATGTTCGAATACAGAACGCATCTTGATAGAGTTATATTCTCGATACTAATCTTAGCAATGAAAAATTCATTCGTGATATCAAAAGACACAATATGTTCATTATTAAAAGTGGTCAATATAAGTAATGGCTTTTCCAACGGCGACAAATGTTGAGCGAACTAAAATAACCTTGCCTCTGTGTGTGTGTGTGTATATATATTCTGTACATACTATTTCATGTTAAGCGATAAACTATTTTTCTCTCTCTCTTTCTATCTCTAATGGTAGCCTGTTGATTGCATTCATATTCAAAAAAGAAACTGTAAACTGTATAACAACATACACTCTGTTACAGTACAATTCATCAATAAGAATACAAATTTTCTTTCTTCTTTTGTCTCCACAAACATGTCGATTTCTTTTTTTTGTTAATATATATTTAGAACATAGTGCGTTTATTTTAAAACTAAGTCTGATTAATATTGACAGTACAAGGTGTTCTAATAGAAACTAATATGATTTAAACCCGATAGAAAAAAAAATAATTATTATTTCATGATGGTCAATCAACTTTTTTACTTGATAAAGTGACATATCTGTGAGACCAATAGAGTATTATTTAAATTTAAAATAGAACACAAAGAAAAAAGATGTTTTTCTGTAGATAATAAACATACCCGTACAAGATGGTGATGATGAAGATTGATTTGACCTTCGTTTATGATTAATATCATCCTTAAGTAGAGAAAAAACATTAGAAACAAATTTTCCAAGTTTGATATTGTTAGATTAATCTCGATAGAAATATTAGAATATATAATTAGTAATATACTTACTAGACTAAGTTTTGAACATGTTGAACTTGTTGAATTATTTTCTAAAATTGGTAAACGATTTTCTACAATCATCATCACATCATTTCTCTCTTGCTGTTGTTTTTTCTTATTTTTATTTTCATTACATTTGACATAATATAAATATTTATTTCGACGATAACGGCATATTAAAATGAGAATCGTACAAACAATTAATGCTAGAATAATAGCCGAACCAATAAAACATGTTGCTAAGATGGCAATACTACGTTTTGTGGATAACGATGAACGATGAAAAATTAACTCATCAATGTTATTTGTTTGTTGGAATAGTGTTGCATTTGTTACATTGTCACCGACTAATAACTGAAATTGAATAAGAGATGAATGTCGTACAGGTGATCCATTATCTTCGGCTTGAACAACAATTTGATAACTACCCAATATGGGTGTTGAATTAATCATAATGTGACCATCAGTTTGAAACCATAAAAATGTGACAATAGGTTTTGATTCGACAAGTGTATAGGTAACATAACCATTGGCATTTTCATCACTGTCTTCAGCTTGGAGATGACCGATTATACTACCTAATGGTATAAGATCTTTATTTATAGCTAAGTGAGTATGATTTACTTGAGGTGAAATCCAACGTGGTGCATTATCGTTAATATCGGTGATATGAACTATAACTGGTACCGATGATGATATAAGTGATTCATTTACATCCATTACAATCGCGTTAAATTCATAAATTGTACGTTGTTCACGATCAACCGATGAGTTTAGTTTTAATTCACCGTTACTTGTCAAATAAAATGGTATTGTTTGATCATCTAAACTATATTTCATTTGATTATTTATATTTGAATCACGATCTGTAGCGGTAATAACACCAATCGGAATTGTTCGATTATGATCTTCTCGTATAAAAAATTCATATTTTTGTTGATTAAACAGTGCTCTATTATCATTTTGATCTATTACAAGAACAGTGACTTTAACACGAGATGATAATGAACCTGGTTGTTGCCCATTATCACTTGCAATAATATAAAATTCATAAATTGAACGTAATTCATGATCAAAAACTGTTGTACATTGTAATTGTCCACTATCACTATCAATTATAAATGGAATGGTTTCATTTGAGATCTCAACTGAATATGAAATATGATCATTATCAGTTGAATCAGGATCATACGCTTCGATACGTGTCAATGTTTCATTTCCATTATTATTTTCATTAATTGATAAAATATAGTATGGCTGTGAGAAAATAGGTTCATTATCATTAACATCAATTACATGTATTATTAATGTTTTTGTTGTACTCAATGGTTGTTTAGGATCTAAATCTTGAGCATAGAATGTTAAACGATGCAATTGTTGTTGTTCACTATCAAATATTTTACTACGATTTAATAGATATGTGCTATTATCTATCTGATATAATCGAAATGAATCATTATCATGATCATTATTTGTATTTGTATTACTCATAAATGATAGTCGTACTTGACCACCCAAACCACTATCCTGATCTGTAACAATAATTTGAGCAAAAAATTTTTCAATTGGATAATTTTCTTCTATTTCAACTAAATCAATATTATTATAATTAATTTCTGGTAAAAAACGTATTTGAATATGAGGTGCAATATCGTTAACATCAAGTAATGTAATATTGACAAGTGTATGAGATGATCGTGGTTCAGTTCCAGAATCTTTTGCTAAAATATTAAAAATAATATAAATTAGATAAAAATAGATAAATAATGTACTGTATACCTTCAACATAAAAAATATAAGATGTTCGTTGTTCATAGTCTAATTTACTTTTTAATATTATTACTCCTGATGTATCATCAATTGAAAATTGATTTTCATATAGTTTAGATGCATCTGTTAAACTATAAGTAATTTTTGAATTTTGACCAATATCATCATCTTTTGCTTGTACTTGTAATAATATAGTATTTACTGGTATATTTTCTGCTATTTGAATTGAATATTTTTCATATTCAAAACTAAATTAAAAATATTAATATAGAAACAAATATAAAAAAAATAGTTAATCATTATTTTCTTACCTTGGTGAGCAATCATTAACATCGTCTATAATAATTTTTACATATAAAAATGCTTCATGTTCAGCTGTATCAATAACACCTATTGTACAATTATAACTATCAATTTTTTCACGATCTAATGTTTGTTTTAGAATAAGTGCTAAACGATTTGAATCAATTGTTGATACTGGTGATACATATCGATCTGTATTAAAAATACCAGGCATTTCTAATTCGAATGGAAAATTATTTAAATATTCATTAATAATTAATCGATATCTTAATTGTTGATAATCTAGTTCATCATGATCATTTGCTTGTTCAATAATTAATTTTGATTGTAATGGTGAATTTTCTGATATATGTAGAATTATAGATGATAATGGATATGGAAAATAAGGTTGATTATCATTCTAAAAAAAATTGATGAAAAATTTTAAAAAAAAAAAATGTCATATAAAATATGAAAAATAAATATGTTGAAAAAAAAAATACTTACAATATCGGTAATAATTATTGGTATATGTATTAATGTTTGATTTAAAACTTCAAATATTTTTAAATTAAATTTACATTTTGTATGATAATAATGATAACGTTTATTAATATTATTTTGACATATTTTTTCACGATCAAGATCAATGGCTGTACGTAATTCACCTGTTTTTATATCTAATTTAAAATAACTTTGTGGATCAGAATTTGGTCTTAAAAAATGATAAGATGCTCGGGTTGTTCTATGTAATATATCAGATAGAGATACTAATAAATGATTTACTACTGTATGTTCAGGTATAGTTATTGGTGCTAAATCAATTGTTATTGATAATGAATATTGAATTTGATAATAAAAAGTTAACCATGATAATAATAACAGTCGCATGATTATCATCATTTAAGTTAAATATTTGTTGAATATGGGATAAATTTAATTAATAAAAGTGTTTCTTCAAGGTTGTCACCTTGAAATGAAAAAAAAAAGAAAAAAGAAATAAGACTTAGTGGTCTCTAATTATTCTTGCATATTATAGAAAAGTTTGTTTAATTTATTAGCTCTTTATACTTATTTCATACTTTAATTCTGATTATATGAAAGAAAGAAAAAGAAAAGAACGTATATATTGTTAAAAAGAGCAAAAAAAAAGAAAAGAATAAACGAAGCTCGTTAAAAACGCATTTGTATAATTTGTAATCGGTCACTTGAAATAATCAATTTGAAATAAGAAAATAAAAAATGACAGGATAAGAGAGAAACAGCTATTTTAATGAACAGTAGAAAAAAAAAAGTATTTAAAAAAGAAAACAATAAAAAACAGGTGCTAAGTATGTGTAAATGAACTCGTACGATATGGTAAATGATTACTACCAAACGTGTTTTTTTTCTTCTTCTTCTTTTTACTCGATAATAAATTAAAAACACATATTATTCTTTCGTCAGGATAATACATGTATGTATTTTCATCATTGATATCAAATTTTTACACCCATATAGGTGTAAGACTCAGAATTGGAATTAAGAATAAAATTCGAATAGATTAGCTATTTTAAATATTTTTCTTTTTTTTTTCGTTTTATCTAAACTATTGATGATATGTCATAATGAATAAAGAGATTGAATTGAACAAGATAAACATGGAAAACTAGATGAATTGACATAATTGAAAATTTTTATCTAAATTATTCGTCCTCATTGATCTTTTTTAACCCCGTTGATACCAATCTCTCGTACTATTTCAAAAATATCATTCTTTTAATACTTACTCAGTCATTAAAATAAATAAAAATCACTTATTGTGTTTTAAATATAGCACAATAAAATTTAATCTAATAATTTTAGACATATGCGTGAACATTTATTTTTTTTTGTTTTATTCTTTCAATATGTTATATTCACACATACTTATTTAGGATTTATCTAAAGTTATTTTTATTTCTACCTATCGGAAGGAAATAATTATTAGTATTTAAAAACATAAAATTCATGTTAAACGGATATTTGCTTAACTGACCCATCGAATAAATATGTATGGTTAATTCAATACCCATTAGGGTAGGTATGTGAGTCATATATCCCATTTCTGTCAATAAAATACAAGTAGAATGGTTATTGTCCCCTTCCATTACGATAAAAACTATACTTTAACTATACCAATAGAAAAAATAAAAAAAAAAACTCATCCTCTCTAATTTTCAACTCATCATCTAAAATGTATAGAAAAAAAAAAAAAAAAAATTTCTCACATTTATTTGGTCATTTTTTTTCTTTCTTTTTGATTATTCAAAAAATTGACAAGCGGAAATGAGAATTGTAACGAAATAAGCATTAAATCAGTTTGACTGTATACATTGAATGATGCAGGACTGTTCAAAAGGTGAAAACGAGATATCAAGTGATGACAGTAACGAACTCTTATATACGTACGTATATATACCTATATATCATCCTAAGACTTAAATCATGTCTATACGCATATAAAGTTGAATGAATGAATGAATCGTTAAATCAATATGACTGCATGCACACACGTATACCTGAAATGACAACAATTTATATTCTATTTTTTGTTGTCAACTGGAGAATAAATTCTCACTTCGACAAACCACTAGCATATACGAAAGAAGCTGAGATGGATTTTACTTACATACACACACATATCTTCACTACGAATATTTACTTAGTAAATAAACTTCATGTTCAAAATTTAGTTTTTTCATTCAAATTTTCCTATTGAAATTTTATTTCCGTTATTCTACTAATGATGAACTCTTCATTTCAACTCAATAATTTCATTGTCTCTTACCCTATATATACCTGATTCAATAATTGTTTAAAACCTTGATGATCGTTGGATATGATCTTGAATAATCATCACTAATCAATTACTCTAATGTTCTAGTACTACTACTAGTAGAAACGAATCTATTTGTTCAAGAAAAAAAAAAACTGGTCTGTCTTCTTTTCTTTTTTTGTGCTGTCGAGACATGGTTGATAGATATTCTCTTCTACTGTATTCTTTCTTTCTTTCTTCTTTTCTCTCTCTCTCTCTCTCTCGGTGGTTAACACATGCTCAATGACTTCTTCTGATACTTCCACTTACTCAATTTCGAACGATCAAGTGGCATGAAAATTGGCTTGAAGCATTAAAATATTATGATGTTTCAGACCAGTGGCGTTAAAATTAAAACGTATTCTTAGATGTTGAAGACATTTCTTGACCATATACATAGTCAAATGAACATTATAGAACACTTAGAAAAACTGGTGATGATTTTGAATAACAGAGGGAGAGAGAGAGAAGAAATTCTGTGATATGCACAGCAGCAGACATGATTTTGATCACTTATAATATATGATTATTCACTAGGGCTTCTCTATACTTATTCAAATCAAATACATATTTTATTCCATATCAGAACCTTCACACAAAACAACAAAGTATTTAACATATGACTCTGTAACTTACTTCAATTAGTCTTTAAATTTGTTTTAATCTCGTTTATTGATGTAAAAGTAGAAAATTCAAAAGATACAAGCCACAAAAGCGGATCGATGATCCATATACATATGGTCACCGTAAAAAAAAAGAAGAGAAACAAACACTTAACTGTTACAGATTCGCTAATCCATACTAAATAGTACAAGAGGAAAAATGAGAGAAGAAGCGAGAAAAAAAAAAGAAATATTATAAATAAATAAGTATATCAGTAAGCATAAAATGTGAGTTATATTGTGTGTTGGTACTGCATGATATGTAAGGCGAGTGAATCAGACAGTCTTTAAATTTATTGTAACAATCAAAATAAACCGTTTTTGACTAATCTGTACACAGTAGCAGAATCAGTGAGGATGTGAAATTTATTTATTTAGTTCATTTTTATTCAAACAGGTGAATATTTCCATGTATTCTTGTATCGTAGAATTTAAGTTTAATTTCAATTTAATGTACAAGTTATTCTTTCTATTAGCTACTAAGACCAAAGTAGGGATGTTACTACAAAGAAAATAACTTTATACTTTGAAAAAAAAACGTTTTAAATAGGTTTAGTCCACAAAAGAACACGATAGTCGTCGAAAGAAATCAAACTTTTTATCTTATCATGATTTTTGCTGTTTGTGATTATGTACAAAAGTTTAAATTTTCTTCAATGCTACTGAATGAAACTCAATATTAGTCGACGAATAATTTCTGTTATTTTAGTTCATTAATAAGTTCTACTATTCAATTTCTCACTCACAAAAATGACGTTAGTTGTTTTTTAACTTCTTTACAAAGAAGAAAAAGAAAAACGACTTTTTTCTTTTTTTTTTAAATGACATCACCAAAAATTCAAACTATATACTCTTCTCATTAGACTATGGAGATATAATAGTGAATTGAATATAGAAGAAGATATCCATGACAAGAAAAACATGTTACACCTAACAGATTATATAAATGATGATGAAATATCATATGGTGCCAATTTCTTTTTTTGATTTTATACGCGTATATGTATGTATCGATACAAACCATAACTTTTTTTCTTTTTATCATTAGTTCAAAGAAGAAAATAAACGGCACACTTTGTGTTGTTGATTATTTAAAATCGATTTTCCAGTTCAACGAATAATTTAAAACTCATACGCACATATCGATTGAAGGCTCTTTTTTTATATTTTATTTAAATAGTTCAAAATATTTGACTCATACGACTAGTTTACCGCAAATAAAAAAGCTGACATGTTCTAATGGTATTATTATGTAATTTACAGGTCAAGAGAGAGACATGCTACACGTTAAGTGTTCAAAAGTGGCAATAAATAAGTGAAAAAAAAAAAAGGATGCATCATACAAACCAATTGAAAAAAAAAATTGTTCAAGATATATCAAATACGTTTTCTCACTATGTTTTATCTTGTATAACAATCCTCTTTATGTTTCGAGATAAACTGAACAGTCTGTGTTTGTAACGAGAAGAATGACATATTATACACTCAAAAAGACAATGTGAATAGTGCAAGATCATAAAGTATTCAAAGTTGCTTAAAAATAAATAATAAAATTAAAAAAAGAAAAAAGAAGAGTCGAACAAGTTCACCGAAAATAATCACATAAGTTAAAGTTTTACGAATATAAAATAATAGACACATTTTTCGAGCATTTGTTAAACCATCTTTCTGGATGAATATTTGTATAAGAGAGTTTTTTTAGTATTTTTCATAAAGAAAGATGATCAAAATTGTTCTACTAAAAATGTGATTCAGATTAGAAGTATACTCGAATTACACATTAGAATCAAACAGAATCTACTTTTAAAGTGCTGACAGTTGTTGTTATTTGTCTGTTAATGATGAGAAACAAACTCATATTACTTCCGTAGATAACGTTTCGATAAATCATTTTTTCTTTTTTGTCACTGTTGAAAACACTAATCATAACGATTAATAAAGACAAAATATGTTTTCCTCTCCCTCCCAAAAGTAAAAAAATAAAAAAATAACAGAATATTTCTGTTCATATATACATAGGCAATTATTCTTCTTCTGAATTGTTCTCTCCCTTTCTCTCTCTCTCTCTTACTTGTATATTTTGAAGACTATAGAGAGATGAATGACTTCATCGTTATACATATTGCAGAACAATATTTTTAAACAATTGTTATGAATAAATCAAAATCTGTCAAAAGTAATTATTGAAACTGTAACAATTACAATGTCGATGTGATCAACAATAATAATTGAAATTATCTTAAAAATGAGACCTTTTGTTTTGATCTTTGAAAATTTATAATATTCAACTTTTAGAGTTTCTTTTTCTTCTTCTTCTTCATAATATCTGATCTGATGCATAAAAAGATAGTTAAATTATAGAGAGATGTTATTCTTATCAATTAACAAATTTACTATTTTTTTTT